TCAGTAGAATTTCTTGCGATCACCAGCTTTCTTAACAGTTAGTGGTGTCGTCCTCTTCATCAGAAAGAAGTTCTCACTAAAATTTCTTGAGACTACCAACGTTCTTGGCCTTTAATGGAGTCATTTTCTTCAGCTTTCTTGTTATGCTCATCTTGCATAATTAATTGACTGCATCGAACAGACAAGGTTTGTGTCATTTTGCATTGCCAATCGATCACCTTAATGGTTTCTGATCATACCCGTTAAAATCTCGGTCTCTTCAGCCAGCCTTGTTTTTATATGCATTCATTCTTCTTGTTATTGCTTGTTCAGACAAACGTACCAGAAGCTTTTTCTGGTTTACTCACTGCATTGTAGAGGTATATATATATATATTTTTTTCATAAAGATGGAAAACTTTATATTCTTGAATGAGGTTGGGAAGGGGGTATTTGGAAGTGTGTATCGAGCTGTCGACAAAAGGAGGGGCGAAATTGTTGACATCAAGAAACTGAGAACTCGTTTCAATAATTGGAAAGATTGCTCGAGTCTGACGGAAGTGAAATTGCTTCAATGAATCAAACATCCCAATGTGGTAAATCTGAAAGAAGTGATAGTGGAAAATAATATCATTTACAATGTGTCAGAATACATGCACTGGAATCTTCATAAATTGTTACAAGAAAGAAAGCGCAGCAAAGATTGACAATCAAAGGCTGAAATTTGTAACCGGTGCTTTTTAAGTGTTTAAAAGACTAGCTCACGTTTATAATCAATGAAATTTTTACAGCGATCTTAAACCTAAAAATTTCTTAGTAAATAATTGCAATATTACAAAAACCAAAACATTGTGATCATTTACCAATATATTTCCAAGCTTAAGATCGTGATAAAAATATCTTTGATCATGAATGTTAGCTAGTTCTTGAAACATTTGGAAACACCAGTTATGAATTTTGGCATCTGATAATCGACTTTCGCTGCACTTTTTTCTTTGTAACAGTTTGTAAAGATTCCAATGCATGTATTCAAATACACTGTTTTCCATTATCACTCCTTTTAGAATCATTTGCGTGTTAAGCCAATGTAACAAGTGAAGTGCATATCTTTAATTCAACTACCACCAGGCTTCATTATACTCTGCCGCCAGGCTTCGTCCCAAAAATAAACAAAGCAGTGCAGTACTGGGTGCTGGATAAGGAAATAAATCCACCACCAGGCTTCCCAAACAAAAGGCGAATTACATGAGAATCAGATGACGAAACTAATCATATCTTACCTACAATTATACAGTTTAATAGGCTAGTAGTTACTCAATTACAAAATGCTCAACTTAAAAACTTGCATTTCAGAGCTGGTCTGCATGAATCCTGGAAAAAACATGAATTGCCAACTTGCTAGCTATACGGCTAAAGTTTCTTTTGTAAAGTTGCAGCTCTGAAAAATTCTTCGTAAAAATATCATTGATAAGTAATGCAAATTATTCATGTATTTGTATATAATATCTAAGGTTTTGAATGGACAATTGTAACACAAAATGGAGATTAATGGTTAATTTTAAAAAGAAATTATCTGATTATACAATTTTTCTCTCAGGTAAATTACTAAAATTTTTCATATATAGAATAACAAGTTGTATCTGAGTCAACTCAGCACATGATGTCACACTTGGATCAACTGAGTTAAAAATAGTGCTGTGTTTGGGTAACAAGAAAATGAGTAGCTGTTCGTCAAGCAGCAAATTCCCATAAGTCATTCTCATCCGAGCCTACTCACCTGTTTCTGGTTTCTTACTAGTCAAGTTCCTAGATCCTTCCTTCATACTTATTGTAATATTTTCACATTTAACTTTTTGTATTTCCTTGATACAATGAGAATTCAGTGATGACCAAGTCTCCTGTTGGACCCAACCAAGTACCGATGACCTCCATGGATAAGTAGCTTAATCTTCCTTCTTCTTCAACATATCCTCTTCTGCTTCTTTTTCTTCCTCTTTTGACTTGCTCAAGGAGCCAAGGCCTTTCGACTCTGGAGGAAGAAGATGAATTCTGAGGATTCAGTACCTCAACAACTCAAAGGTGTAGTTATGATCACTCCTCCTCCACCTGACAATCCATCATTAGGCAAAACCGTTACTGCTTTCACTCTCAGCAATGAGAATTTTCAGCTGACGTGTCAGAGCCATGAGAATAATCACCCTGATCAAGATCATGATCCTGATCAAGGCCATGTTCCCAATTCAATCACCAACACCACCAATAGCCGAATGCTAATTCTCGTTCTTGAGGGGATTCGAGGGTACTCCGAGGAAGCTCTTGAGGTTTCTTGGTATCTCTATTTTGCGCCCTAGTTCTTTACAGGTGTTTCTTTTCGGATATATTTGGGGAGTTCAGAAGATCTAATGAAGATGAAAACCCAAAGTCCTTCGTGTTCCCATTGTATCAAAAATTGGGGATCCGTGAGGTGTCGGAGGAGGATTTGGAACTCAAGTTGGAGAGATTTCTGGATGTGGACATAGGATATTTTGTGTCTAAAGTTGATAACCAGGTTATAATAAAACTCAGGTAGACTTGAAAACGTAATGGGTTCGAAAAAGTTCATTGAAAGAGACTAATGTTGGGTTAGAAAGTGAAACAACGAAGCAAAACCATTTTTAACACCTTGAGTCATTTTAGGAAGTCTTCTGGAGCACGACAATTTTAAAGTACAAGATGGAGAAGTTTAGACAAGGTAAAAGACTTCAAAACAAGTTTGAATGACCCTAAAAGGGAACCATAATTAAACCCAAAGAGTAAACTAGAAAAACGAATCCCCTTACGGGATTTGAAGATCTGAAAACATGATGATCGAAACAAGATCCAAATTATAAAAAATGATTTACGAATTTCAATAGATTTAAGTACTACTTGAGGAGCTATTTAAAGTGCCAAAACGTTGGAACACCGAATAACCTTTAAAACAACCAGAAAAGGAGAAATGAAATGTTATAGGAATCAAAATGATTTGAAAGCGATGCTCCCAAGTAAAATAAAAGAGTCCCCAACCTCTATGTCAAGTTTGAGAATAATGTCCATAAACAAAATACTCATGATGTAAGAGGTTCTGGATGTCCTTTATGATCCAAATAAAAATTATCCGGAGGCAAAAGAAAGATTTCATATCCCTATAAACATATATATATATATATATATATATATATATATATATGTAGGCCAATTCAACCTTAGCTAATTCTCAAGTTCATTTCAAACTTAATTCATGTCTCCCAAAGAGGTTACGTCAACACAGAGGACTCAATCCGTTCGTTCATGGATCAGTAAATCAACCAAAAAATATTCAATCCATTTGTCCATGCCTTATTAGATCAACAGAAAATTCAATAAGAGAATTATCATAAGGCTTCTGCATATCATCTTCATGGTAATCTCATTTTAGAAGACATAATGAATTTAACAACAAAATTAACAATTTAGGGTTTTGAACTTTGCCTAATGGATCCAGACCAAAGGTCCCCTCACTGGTTATCCAAAGGCTCCTCCAATGGCGTTCCTCTCTCTTGGTTTCTTTCTTTCTATCTTCTTTTCTTGTTTCTTGGAGTACTCTCCCAATTCCTTATTTTCCTCAGCCGAATCACTTCCCCCCTCTCTCTTAGTGATTTTCTTTCTTTGTGCTCAACCTGTCTCCTCTCACCATCTCAGTTTGTTGGTCCATGGCCTCTTCACTCTTTGTTTTTCCCTTATAAACCCCTTTATCGAACCCAAAGAAGGGTTCTTTTTACCTGGTTCCTATTCTGTCTTTTCTTGCTCTAAACGATGCCGTTTCCTAAAGTTTTTGTTGGAGAAAAAAGGATTTTGAGGATAACTATTTTCCTTTCTTGCTTTTAAATGCCAAGTACAAAAGGATATTTATAAATATAGAACGTAAACTAAGAGGTACATCAAAATTGTTTTTAATTAATGGGCATTGAAAGAGAAACTTTGAATGATTTATAATTTTTATAAAATTATTTAATTATTCAAAAATTTTAAATGATATAAAAATTATAAAAAAATATGTATTTAAAAATTATATTTTAATTAATTTTTTCTATAGCCTTCTTTACTTATATTTTTAATAACTTTATTAAAAAATTGACTACTATTATAACGATATTCTGTAATATAAATATCATTATATGAGAAATTGATCGTCAAAATGATAATTGACATAATAGAAGTACAAGATATCAATTCTTTTTCCATATTAGAATCTTTAAAAGAGTTCTATGGAATTATATAGATGTTTGTCTCTATTTTGATTCTTGTATTGAGAATCGCAACAGGTGTATTAGTAATTGTGTGATTAGATGAAAATATATCTTGATAACTTTATATCTCTATTCATCACCTTGAACTTCTATTAATACCGCTAATAAATAACTAAAATATTTTTTTTTAATCTGAAATTAATTAAGATCTCATATTTTGGAGAGTTTGTATTTAACAACTTTATACTTCAACTAACCTGTTAACAGTTAATATATTTTAAATTCTGATGTAATTAAGCACATGATACTATTGTTATCATCTTCAAACCATTGACTTTGTTAGAAAATAAGTATGTTGGTGACTTTAACTTGGCAGTTGTGAGTTTTTTTATTATAATACGTTTAAAAAAAAAATGATCTATTTAGAAAAGAGTAGACTTGCTTATTGGGCATTAAAGAGGATAAGTCTTAATCGTTTTTTTATTTTTATCTACAATATGTATTAGAGTTCTCTCACTTTTTTTTTTAGTTTAAATTTATATATTTTATCAATTAATTAACATATATATATATATATATATATTAGTAATAATATAATTTTTTAATAAAGACATACAAAGTGCACAATTGAAACCAAATTAATGTCCTCGTAAAAATAATAGAATTAAGTTATACAAGAATTTTATATTTAAATAATTTTTGAAGTACATAAAGCTTTAGTATAAAAAAAATAGTGCAAGAGTTAATTAATTAACTATTCTTGCGATTGTTGTATTCAAAAGGGAGTTATAGTGGGGAGTTGCGGAGGAAAAGGAGGGTAACGAGACTTATCCCAAGGAGGTACTAATCGAGTAGTGAAGGCAAGTACGTCACTCCCATTCCATGGAACCCCTTGTTCATGTCCACAGTTTCTACCTTGGGTCCCATTCCATAGTCCACGAAGTACTCGAAGATCTGCGTTATTGTGAATATTCTCTATCAACTGATAGAATCCGGAAGTTTTAGTTTCTGTTATACATGAATAATTCGCATTACTTATCAACTATATTTTCACAAAGAAATTTTCAGAGTTGCAACACTTATCAATGATATTTTTACAAAGAATTTTTCAGAACTGTAGCTTTACAAAAGAAAATTTACTAGCAGGTAGGCAATTCATCTTTTTCCCAGAATTGATGCAGATTAGCTCTGCAATGCAGGTTTTTGAGTTAAGCATTTTGTCATCCGGTAACTGTCAGCTTATTAAACTATATAGTCGTAGGTAAGATATGATTAGCTTCGTCATCTGATTCTCGTGTAATTCTCCTCAGGTCGGGGCAGCCTGGTGTTGGATTTACTTTTTTCTTCGGCTCGCAGTACTGCACAGCTTTGTTGATTTCGGAGACGAAGCCTGGTGGCGGGTATAATGAACCTACGTTCGCAGTCTTGGTAATGAAACCTGGCGGTGGTTGAATTAAAGCTATCTTCTTCACTCGTTCCTTCGGCTTAACACGCAAGTGGTTATGAAAGAACGGATGTTGCAGAGCTTCAGCAGCAGATGGTCTCTTGAGAGGATCCCAAGAACAAAGTTTCGAAATCAAATCAATCGCAGCTTCACTTGCAGATGGAATTAAGCTTGAGAAATTCACAGCAGGAATCTCTGGAAACTCATAGTTCGCCAGGGCCTTTGCGAGATATATTCCACTAGGCCAAGTCTCCATTGTTGGACTGCCTATGACGCTGCAAATTTTGTGAAGTTGATTATTCATGCCAGGAAACAGAGGACGCAAGATGAACATTTCTGCCATGATAACTCCCATCGCCCACATGTCAACTTCAGACCCGTACACGTATGATCCCATCAAGACCTCAGGCGCGCGATACCAACGAGTACCAACATAATCCGTGAAAGGTATATCTGAATTTCCTATTTCCTTGGAAAGACCAAAATCAGCAATCTTCATGACATTGTAATTACTAACCAACAAATTTTCAGGCTTAAGATCACGGTGAAAATATCCTTGACCGTGAACATGAGCCAATCCTTGAAACACCTGGAGACACCACGTACGAATTTCTGCCTCCGATAATCTATCTTTGCTGCGTTGTCTTCCTCGCAAAAGTTCGTAGAAGTCCCAGGGCATGTATTCAAATACCATAAAGACGACATTGTTTTCCATGATCACTTCTTTCAGATTCACCACATTGGGATGTTTGATTCGTCGAAGCGATTTCACTTCCGTGAGATTCAAGCAATCCTCCCAACTACTTAAACGGTTTCTCAGTTTCTTGATCGCAACAATTTCACCGCTCCTTCTGTCGATCGCTCGATACACGCATCCAAATCCTCCCTTCCCAACTTCGTTCATGAATAGAAAGTTCTCCATCTTTACAACAATATTATATATATGTGCGTATATACTTGGGCAATGCAGTCAGTAAACCAGAAAAAGCTTCGGGTACTTTCGTCTGAACAATCGATAACAAGAAGAATGAATGTATCTAAAAATAAGGCCCGCTGAAGAGACCGAGACCTTAACGGATATGATCAGAAACCAAATCGGTGATCGATCGGCAACGTAAAACGACACAAATCTTGTCCTTCTGGCGCAGTAAATTAATGATGCAAGAAGAAAATAGAAAGTTCTCCATCTCTACAACAATATTATATATGTGTGCGTATATACTTGGGCAATGCAGTGAGTGAACCGGAAAAAACTTCGGATACTTTCGTCTGAACAATCGATAACAAGAAGAATGAATGTATCTAAAAATAAGGCCGGCTGAAGAGACCGAGACCTTAACGGATATGATCAGAAACCAAATCGGTGATCGATCGGCAACGCAAAACGACACAAATCTTGTCCGTCTGGCGCAGTCCATTAATGTTGCAAGAAGAAAATAGCAAGAAGGCTGAAGAAAACGACGCCATTAGCGGCCAAGAAAGCAGGTGATCGCAAGAAATTTTACCGATAACCTCTTTCCGCTAAAACAAGAAGGCTGAAGAGAAGGACACCACTAACGGTCAAGAAAGCTGATGATGGCAAGAAATTATACCGAGAACTTCTTTCTGCTATGGAGAAAACAAGTAGGACTGTTTAGGAAAACTGAGAGGCTTTTATAAAGAGAAGGAGCCTGGAAATCCTAGTCGGAAGAGGAAGACGATTGACGGAGTCAATCCGGATTTGACTGGTTTTGAAATTACGTCTTCCCCCCCAAATACTAAATTAACTAAATTTAATGAAGTTCATAGTTCCCGACTCCCGGACTAATTAGAAGATAGAGGAACTTTATTTAGCTAAAAAATCAATAATCCTGCTTAATTTTATTAATTAATTTATATAAATTAATTAATTAAGTTGTCATGCAAGTTAATTAATAAAATCCACAAAATTTTACTTTGATTGCATAATTAATTCCTTTGAAATTTTTGAACAATTAAGCATAAATATTTTTACAGGAGACACGAGAGTGGCTATTGTTTAATCTCTTATATTTATATTACTTTTACCATGTCACACTTAGCATTTCTTTAAAATTTACTGGCAATATTCTAATTTATATATTTAATATATATTAAAATAATAAACTAATTATACCTAAAAAATACATGATAAAAAAATATACAATTAATTTTGCATTTAGATAGAAGAAATAAATTAAATTGAAATATAAAAGTATAAAAGTTCAATTTAATTAATATTACTGTTAAATACAAGATTCATTGTTCTAATAATTTGCAGCTACACATGTTTGATCACATATTATTGTTGTGTGTTATACTAGTGCCCTTTTTCTATAGTTTTATAAAACGCTAAATATTATTATTTTCACTTTAATTATGACTTGCATTAGTTTGTGGAGATTTAAAGTGATTTAATGTAATTTTTTCTTTTTTTTTTTGTTGGTTAATACTTTCTTCTGTTTAAGATTTGTTTAATTCTAATTTGTTCTTTTTCTATTCCTATCAGATTGTATTCAACATACATACTTTTGTAAGAAATTCCCAAATAATGAATCTTTGTGAACTGCTAGAGGAAAAAAAATTACAGTGAAGATCGATTATCAGAGGCACGTAAGTGATATTTTAAAGTGTTTCAAAGACTAGTTCACATTTCATAATCAAAGATACTTTTATCGTGTCCTCAAATAAAAAAACTTGTTGATGAATAATTACAATGTTATGAAGATTGTGCCGTAGTACTTCCCGAATTAAAAAATAAAATGACCGTCCGGCTTCCCTAATAAGAAGAGAATCTGATGAAGTTAATTATATATTATCTACAATATACAGTTTCAAGTATCAAAACTTTAAATCACCAAATAACCTCTAAAATAATTAAAAAATGATCGATAAAATGTTCTTGAAATCAAAATGATTTGAAAGATGCCCCCAAGTAAAATAAAAGAGTCCTGAAACTCTATGTGCATAAACAAAGCACTCATGATGTAAGAGGTTTTGGATCTCTTTTATATTTTCCTGAGGCCAAAGAAACATAAGTCTTGACCAACTCAACCTTAACTAATTCTCAAATTCATTTCAAACTTGTTCATGTCTCCCAAAGAGAGGTTACATCGACACAAAGAACTCAATTGATATTGTCATGCATTAGTCTATCAATAAAAAATATTCAATCTATTTGTCCATGCCTTGTTAGATCCACAGAAAATACAAGAAGAGAATTATCATAATGCTTCTGCATATCATCTTCATGCAATCTCATTTTAGAAGGCATAATGAATTTAACAACAAAAATTAATAAGTTAGGCTTTCTTTAAATCTTTCTTGTTTCTTAGAGTACTCTCCCAATACCATCTTTGCCTTACCCGAATCACTTCCCCCTTCTCTGTAGTAGTTGATATTTGAATATTTGGATTTAAAAAAAAAATTGTATTTATATCTATATATGTATATGGTAATAATATTAATAATAATAATATATAAACATAATTATATGGTTGGGGAGAGGAAGAGGAAATGGTATCGTTTGAAGAAGAGAGAGTGGACAGCTGGGATAAGATGGGATGGATGGTCGAGATGAGAGATAGGTGGAATATAAATAGGAAAAGAAAAAGAGGGAAAAACAGATAGGAGGAGACGGGGAAGAGAAGATTCGAGAGAGAGAGAAGCCGAAGCAGGAAAGAACGAGAAAAGAGAGCAGGAGAAGGAAAACGGTGAAGGTGCGGCTACGGAAGTGCAGAAAGAAAAAATGGAGACTAGAGGTATGGTAAAATTTAAGTTTCAAGTGTAGGATGAGGATGAAATGTTGAGTTGTGACCGTAAGTTTTGATGAAATATATGAACAGCTTAGGAAATGGAGTAGGAAACTATGATAGATGGAATAGGAGAGTGGAAAGAGACTGTGAGTTTGTGGAAATGTGGATTAGAACTATGAATAGAGGGTAATGGAGGAAGCTGCGAGAGGAGAGATTGATGAGTTCGGTTAGTGAGTGAGTTATCATTAGAGGAAGGAATACGGTGA